GGGGGGGGGGGGGCGAATATCCTGGGAATATCGCCCCCCTTTTGAGAGGGGGGCGAATCTCCTGGGGGGGCCAATCTCCTGTGACACCGGCACGATTTTGTTGTTTTGATATTGCTTTGACTATTTTCAAAAATAACTTGTGTAACCATCTTTAACTTTCATCCCGGCAACCTGGCTGGCCCTGTCAGTGAGCGATTATATATGGAGAAATTTTCATCCTGGTAAGTGATATCTTGGGAACTGGGCCAGCCCAATTGTCCATATAAACAGACAATAACTCTCACTTACCATGCTGTCTCACTACCCGGCTTTTGCTGGTATACTATATAATTTCATAATAGTGTACATATTAACAAATTATGTATATAATAGTTTGCACATTGTTTATATTAAATCCTTGTATGAGCAGTAAATATGCAATACACGATTTGTTGAGGAAAGTACATCTTGTATTTTAAGTCAATTTTAAAAAGGAAATAAACAGGTTTACATACCTTTTTCTTTTAGCGTATTTAAAGTGTGTGTAAAGTCCATCTGGTGACGCAAACTTTGCATGAATTGTCACACAAGATGGAAATGGTCTCCTTCTCTTCTTACCCAAAATCTGAAATATCCACCTTGAACAACGTTGGTAGCCCACTAAATGATACAGTTTATGTATTCTTGCCAAATCACTGTTGCCAACAGGCCAGATAGCGAAAAATGTCTTCCAGATAGCAAAAAATATCCACCTTTAAGACGTTCTCTGATAGCATTTTCGCTGAACTAGACAAGTTACGCATGACTCACCGCTTCCTTCAACATTTGTGACCAAATCGTCGTACTCTAAAGCCTTTTCGTGGCAGCAAAAGCTTTCTATTGTCTTTGTTTGCAAGGTACAATGGCCACACTTGCACCAACTGAGCGACTTAAGAAGCCAGCTATTCTCGGTCTCAAATGCCTCATCGAAGTCGTCGTCTGAGGATGACTCGTTTAAAACAGGTTCAAACTGATACGGTAACACTTCACCAAACTGATTCTCGTCAATTTCTTCCATAGAAAGCCCAGAACCGGCGAAAATTCTTCACAAAAGTTAAAACTGATCAAAAGCTATAGTAGCGACTGCCAATGACGTCAGAGGCCTCAAATGACATGAAAGATAATTTTCCAAAATGTGCTTTCAAAATGGTGGGCGATATGCATAATTAGACCAACTTCGTTCGCTTTTTACACCGAATCGAATAATTTTCATCCCAAATAAAATATATTCTTATTAAGATAACCAACGTGAACAAAAATAGCCAATAAAAAAATCCATTGCTGATGTCCTTTAAGTGGTTATACCGTTGGGAATAGTGATGCTGTCAATGGTGAAAATACACAAACAAATAATGAAAGTAACTCCAGTAACACCAACGAGTTTGTTCGTGAGTGGTCAAGTTGTATTTCAACTACACAATCGTTTGATGATTTTGGTAATGCTGTTGTTTTGGAAGCTAAATCTGCGTCGGCCAATACATCTAATCGACGTGGTTGACCTATGAGAAACCCGAGGAACCGCCCGAATAGCAGAATACCTAACCCAAATTGTCGCCCTCTACCTTGTAACCCTATAGAAACCCATAGAATTCTGACCCTCTTCCGTTTATCGAAGAAAAGAGCTGTGAGATGAATTCTCCAGGGCAATAATACAATCTATGCCGGAAAAAAAGATGAACGACTACTTTACGGATACATTTTCCACCTCTACAATTGATGTTGACGAACTTATCTCCTCCCTTTCCGATAACATTTCCCTGACTGGAATCGATCATTCGCTAATGGAAGCAATGTCCAATAAGAAAATTAAAGATAAACTCAAATGCATGTCCAATTCTGCCCCAGGTAAAGACAAGGTTGAATATAGACACCTCAAGCTGGTTGACCCTAACTGTGATATACTTGGGTTAATCTTCAATAAATGTTTGGAAGAAAAGAAAATACCACTCTCCTGGAAGCAATCAACCACCATATTGATATATAAGAAAGGCTCCAGTGATAATATACCAAGTAACTTTAGACCCATTGCTTTGATGTCGTGTATATACAAGCTATTTACCTCCATATTGTCCTCTCGTATCTCCAAATTCGTGATAAAGGAAGAGTTAATTTCCACCGAGCAGAAAAGCGCCAAACCTTCTGAAGGATGTCATGAACATTCGTTCACACTAAAATCAGCGGTAGCAGACTGTAAGAGGAATCAAAAGAACTGTTTCTTTGCATGGTTAGATCTTCGTAATGCGTTTGGAAGTATATCCCATGATGCCATTTACACCACCCTAGAGCATATGGGTTTCTCTGAATTGTTGATAAGTTTGATAAGAGACATTTACACCGACTCCACAACGGTCATTTGTACGAAGAAAGGATGAAGAAACAGATCCCATTCCAGTTTCATGCAGGCGTCAAACAAGGATGTCCAGTTAGCCCTATCTTATTTAACCTCATTACTGAACTATTAATAAGGACATCTAAGTCGAGATGTGATAAGAATTCAGCCATTCCATACCAACTTCATGGTCATCCAGTAGCTGGTCTTGGCTTACACAGATGATCTTGTTCTTATGAGTCGAACTCGTGACAGCCTTCAATCCCTGTTAAATGACGTTTCTTTGGCAGCTGACATCTTGAACCTGAACTTCCGACCTGACAAATGTGCCTCACTGTCCGTAACATACAATAAGAGAGAGCCAACACGTGTAGTGATACCATATTCAATGTACAACATGGTGGGATCCCTGTTCTTTCAAAGGAAGAATCATATCGATATGTAGGTGTACCCATTGGTCTGTTATACAATGCAAGTGATATGTGCAACATTACGACCAAACTTATCTCAGATCCTGAAAAATACGAGATTCACTGCTGACCCCTTGGCAGAAGTTGGACGCAATCAGGACCTTCATTCAACCATGCCTCACTTATGCTCTTAGAACATGTCCTGTAACCCGATTATCTCTGACTAACTATAGGAAAAAACTGATCGAAGTTCTCCGTTCAATCTGCAATTTACCAAAATGGACTACTCGACATTATTTCTTCGCAGATAGAGCAGCCGGTGGCCTAGGTCTTCAAGATCCATTTGACGAATGACACATTCAGACAGTTGTCCATACGGTGAAAATTCTATCGGTCTCGGACCAGTTTGTTAGTAGCGTCTCGAAAGCCCAACTATCATCGGTGGTATCCTCATCAGACCAAAAAGGAGTTGCATCGTACCTTCACCGCTTTGCTTTGAAGAATCATGCTGAGAAGCTGAAAAGCCTGCCAGACCAAGGGAAGGTTGCTAGATGCCTTCAAACTTCATCATTTCCATCTACGAACAGCTGGTGGTACTGGTATGCGCTTCTGTGATTGGCGATTCATTCACAAACACATTACCCACTAACGATGTGAAGAGCAGATTTTCTAACGGTAATTCGCCCACCTGTCGCATTGGTCATAGCCCCGATAACACAGAGACCCTCCCACACATCATTTGTCACTGTCATCCAAATATGCCATCCATTACCAAAGGACATAATAGCGTTCTCCAAAGACTTACAAATGCTGTTAATTGCGGTACATACACAGTTGATGAGGTCGTCCCAGGTGCTCCTGGTATTAATCGCCCCGATTTAGTAATTACAGAAAACAACAAAGTAACGATTATTGACGTAATGCACCCTTTCGAGAATGACGACAGTGCCTTAACATCTGCTGCGTTGAGAAAAGAAGAGAAGTACAACTACCTGATAGATCACTTCGGTACCTTAAATAAACAAGCCAAAGTGTTCGGTTTCGTGGTTGGTCTCCTTGGCGGTTGGTTCCCTGGAAATGAAAGAGTATTGGATGAAATTTACATGAGTAAATATAGAACTTTATTCAGAAAACTATGTTGTGCCGTGCTATCAAAGGCTTGACAAACATTTATGTTGAACACCTTACGGGTGTACCTCAATACTAAACTTGAAATGCAGAGTGAACAAACAGCTATTATTATCATACTTACCATAACTTAGTCATTCAGCCTAGAAATAGGAACAAAACGTTAGTAGGACATCGAACAGTTCATTTCTGTAGTTTATCAATCTACTCAGTCATTGATGTATAGGAATAGGTCGTATTTCAAGTAGCTAAGTCATTTGATGTAAAGAGGTTTTCTTTACTCTCGTAATAAAAAATTTCTGTTTTTATCAGCTTAATATCTGATATGTTAGGGAATGCCCAACTCGTATATTAAACTGATTTTTTATATATTTTTTATATTTTTTCTGATATAGCGGATGTAAACTACCGCTATATCTGTTATTATTTCACGATTTGGAACATTTTGATATGTATTTTGTTTAGTTATCTGGATTATTTCGTGAGTTATTCGTGTTTTAGACTTTATAACGTACTGTCATAATATTTATACTGTTTACTTGTTGTTGGATTCATATTTTACCTGTAACTTTGGCTGTTTCGACATTGTGTGACTCAGTGAACTATTACGTCTCCTGGTTATCTACATCTCCAGCAAGTTTTACGTCTGTATCTTGTATAAAATTCAAACTGGATCCATCTTTGTGTTTTCCAACGGTCATTTCGCTGGTCAATTAGTATTCTGTTTCACACTTTGGATTATTATTTGGGGAATTCCTGTTTGTTGTCATAGTCTAGTGCGTGTGTCACATGGTATGTGTTATAGACAGTGTTTAATATGGTTTCTCATTTGTAATTATGCAATTTTTTGGTGTATTATGGCAAACCATCACTCACTCTCCTTTTGTTCAATGTCACGATTGCAGTTTTATATCTGATTCGCAAGGTGGCCTAGGTGTTCACAGATCTGAGTGTCATAAAGTGTCAATTCCTGATAATGTGAACACTGTTACTATTGAAAGAATTTTCCCTGAAGGCAAATAGTTTTATTGTTGTCTGTGCAATGTCATCATTGGTTCTTTCCCTAATTTTAAGCGCCATTATACTAACTGCCATAAAGGTGTATCCCTTATTATATCTGCTAAATGCTCGATATGCCCTAAAAAGTTCCCTGAAGCTCGAGGTGCTGGCGTTCATTGTAAATGTGCACATAATATTGGAACTAACGACTCCTTCCCCTGTTCTCCTACCCCAGTGATGTCGTATGTTGCTCTTGATGATGAGTCAAATAACACTACTCTCACCCCTTCAAGAAAGAGGCGAAGACAGTCATCAAGACTATTAGCTGAATTGGATACTTCGATGTCCTGTCCTGCGTCTAGTCCTAGTATTAATTCCACCAGCTGCATCTCTGATACCTTTGATATCCCTCCCCCACTACAACCTTTTACTCCTCTTTCACAATCCCTTACCCCTTCCCTTAATTCCATTCCTCCCCAACCTAATTTCCCAACCGTTGGTACCGCATCTGCTACCCACATTGATTCCATTATGTCCCAACATATCCTGCCTTCCCCCCGAATTCCTCACGGTCCTAATTCCAAATCCCACCTTCCTGGAATGATAAACCTCGACCCTGAGTCAGACCCTGCTCCTCCTTCTCCCCCTAAACCCTCTGCTAGCCACCCGCTACCGGATACCCTCCCCCCATCCAATTCCAATTCCCCTTCTGCTGCACCCTCTGAACCTATTCCTGAAGCTGAGGTCTCCTTCGTTGGTCCTACTAATGCTGAAAATTGTGTCCAGCATCGAGCCCCCCATCCGATGTCTTCTAATGCTGATACTTCCGATACGGCGGTTTCCTTAAGTGGTGATACTGCTGAGGACATATTCTTTCCTCCTACCTTGCCCAACCCTCCTCCTTACCCTAATCCAGAATCCTCTTGTCAACCTCCCCCTACCACCAATCTGATTCCTCCATCAAATAATACCTCCGACCCAATTCAGAGGTTTCATGACAAATGGTCTGTTGTTTTCTCGGACTCTGATAATTGGCCTAAATTTTCCGACAACTGCTCTGTGTTTGCAAAGGACGTGATTGAGTGCTAATGTTTTCCATACGAGGAATAACCATGGTCCCTGTCGCCCTAACCATCCTTGTGCTAGACCTGTTAGTAACAACAGACATCCGCTGAGGTATAATCCTATTGAAGCCAGAAGATTACAAAGTCTTTACAGAATCTCAAAGAAACGTGCGGCCAGGAAGGTGATTAATGACAACAAGCCTCCATATGCAGGATCAGTTGAAGACGCTGAAAATTTCTTCACTAACATGTTCAGTGCTAAGTTTTGTGATAGGGACGGTATTAAGCGTGGTCTTAATGACTTTGTTCCATCTGGCCCCTCTGATAACCATCTTGGTGACCACGTTTCACCTAGTGAGGTCCTTAAGAAATTACATTCCCTCTCCAACTCCGCGCCTGGTAAAGATCGTGTTGAGTATCGACACCTACGAACTGTTGATCCTAAATGTGAAGTTCTTGTGGCGATTTTCAACAGATGTATGGATGAAAATGATGTGCCTGCTGAATGGAAGGAATCGGTGACCATATTTAATTCACAAAAAGGGTGATGCCGATGAAATTTCGAACTTTCGTCCTATTGCACTGATGAGCTCTATTTACAAGTTGCTAATGAGTGTTATAGCCAAATGGCTGGTTAATTTTGCTATTGATAGTGAGTTGTTGTCAGCCAGTCAGAAGAGTGCTAGACCAACTGAAAGTTGTTATGAACATTCGGTTTTGTTGCAGTCATTGGTTCTTGATGCCAAATGTTTACAGAAAAATGTTTGCTTGCGTGGTTGGATCTTAGAAACGCCTTTGGAAGTGTCCCCCATGAAGTAATTGAGATAACCCTATCCCATCTGGGTGTTCCCCAATCTGTGGTTGAGCTAATGAAGAATGTATACACTGACGCCAACACTGTAGTTCGAACGCCTGCTGGTCTGACATCCGATGATATGGTCAAAATACGCGATAGACATAATTCCGTTGTTGACAGATTCTCAAAAGCGATTCGATATGGTCATGTGAAGCTTGACCAGCAAGTTGATGGTTCATCCCACGAGTGCCGCCCTAATATTGTTATTAACGAAGGTAACCAAGTCACAGTCATAGATGTAACATGCCCGTTCGACAATGGTGAGAATGCTCTCAAGGCTGCTGAAGATTATAAAGTGTCCAAATACCATCATTTGATTGACCACTTCAGATCGGTTGGAAAAGAGTGTCACACATTCGGTTTCGTGATTAGCCTGTGAGCAGGCTCTCTGGGGAAAGAGAGCCTGCAAGGATCCCTATGATGATTGCGTGCATGCGTCCAATATTTGGACGCAGAGCTCTGATTGGTTGATAACTGATTCATATGAAGTGATTGACAAGCTTCCATAAACTTGCACTTCCCGTTTGTAAAACCGAGCAACGCAAAGCTTCGGAATTGCGGCAATGTGGAGATAAAAGTGTCATGTATTTTGATCCTGGTTGAATTTTTACTGTAAATTAATATAGTATTCATATAAAGACGAATACTAAAAGCTTGCATGCTTTATTGTGTCCTGGGCTTGTCTGACTCCTAGGCTAAGAATAATGCTTGAGAAAGACTGCACAAATTCGCAAACCGAAACCTAGGGACAATTAAGGCATTATATCGCTTCTCTTTTATGAAACAATATTGGGAATTATTCTGATAATATTCAGTGCATATTGTGTGTATTAAGCGCTTGTTTTACAATGTTATACTGACTATTTAATATTTATAAGCCTGCGGCATTAAAATGTACAGTAATTTACTTGTCACTTTGTTTACAATAATTATCACATGCATGTTTACTGCAATTCCACTTTTTGTTGCAAAATTTGAACTATAAACATATTATTAAATTATGTCCAATGTCCATGGTATATCATATGTGTCTATGTCTCACCAAAGCCATAAATTTCAGTAAGTTATATTATTACTATACAGGGTGTATCAAAATAAACGCAATTCATCTTTTGTGCTTAATAACTTTCGAAATACTATTTCTAGTTAAACGCTTTTAGGCTTACTTCAAAGCCTGTTCTTTTCTCTTTCACACAAACTATTATCCTTGTCTCCAATGCTAGTAATAATTGCACAAGAAAAGATTTAGTAAAACTTATCATTTTTAGTTGCTGTTTAATTATGCAAGTTTACTATGTTATTGTTTAGTTAGTTTAAATGTTAGAATTTTCTTCTTTAAACTTTAATGTTGTTGTCACTACATCTGGAAAACCACGTAAGAACAAATTAAAAGTATTTCAGTAAAAAAGACCAGGTTGTTTGAAAATCCTAAACGAATGCTAAAAATCGTCAAAACATTCTGGTGTCTGAGCCAGAGTGTCATCGAATTGCGATGTAATGTAAACAGAAATTATAGCAAGTTGATGTCAGTCAGCTTAGATGGTCTAAGCCAAAATTATATCACATTTGAGTTAAAAATATTGAGTTAAAAATAGTGGAAGAAAAGCCGTAATTATACTTATTGTTACAATCCATTTAATAAAATGCAACTTTTTGTTTTAATGAACAAAATCAGTTATTTTCATGAGAACAATTTGTTATTCCACCTCAATTTTTTTAATCTCCAATCGCAATAACGTAAAGTATTATTACCCACGAACCAATGAGTCAAATTTAAGAAACAACCCACTGTTAGAAAGCTGAATGGCTACGCTTTAAAATTAATGTAAACTTTAACGTTTTCATCTATTATTTGTTTAGCAATTTACATTTCAGTCGAGGATTGCGCTTTTTTTGATACACCCTGTATATATATATATATATATATATATATATATATATATATATATATAGGCCTATATATGTGTCACTTAACTTTATCCAGAAACCTTCGAATCTGTATATTTTATTGGTATTAATAAATATTTAATTTAAAGTTGTAACTAGGGACCTTATATTAAAAGCCTTTTGGTTTCTAGAAAATTCCTAACCTTTTTAATTTAAATATCATTTACCTCATGATTTATATAATGTAATATGGGCGAATTAGTAAATAAAAATAAAATAAAAATAGGTACGCGACGCGTACATGTATCAGCGAAAAAAACTTGATTCACATTTTGTATTTTCCCGAAAGAAACTGAATAATGAAGATGACAGGAGACAATTGAAATGTTTCATCACTTATTATAATAGCAGATAAGATTTAAAACAGGGCTGTACACAGCGGGGAGAACGACAGGGCAAGTGCTACCCCCCCCCCCCTCGCACCGACAAAATTTAACTAACTTTATAATGTGATTATGATTGTAGCAGTTAATTATGCAGTCAGGAAATAAAAATTTCATGTAAACAATATTCAAAGTGTCATTACAGCCACCTATTTAGTAAACTGTTACCTGTCAATTCAATCCATACTCATCAAATTTTCAAAACTTTATTGTCCCCGAGCCGACGGCGCGAAGCGCCGTGCGAGGGTACTAATTCCCCCCGGCTATTTACACCCGGGGAAACGAAAGCATTAGCGGAGTCTAAAGTTCATCAAATATCGCGGGCGTGGGTGACCAACGATGGGTGGTCATCCTCACTGATCTCAAAAATATGGCGGACTGTCGTGAATAGCGGACACTGATTGGTCCAATTTAAATTTTGCATTATAACGACTGGCACGAATGTATCACGACAGCGAAATAGCAAACATTTCTTGATTTGATGATTGATAAATTTCTTGCAAATATATTTCATTTTTACTCGCATTTTTGCAAGATTTTGTAAATTTCAAAAGCTCTCTCAAAACGAAACTGCGAAAGAATTGTCTAAAAGAAGGGAGCCGACGTTAACGAAGGTAAGTTTGTTTTAAATATTGATTTTATAATGACTTTAAAACCCCCACGGCCTTTGCGTATATGAAACAACTAAACAAACAGCATATAATTTTAGTGTATCTTTAATATTGATTCCCTTTTTTATGGTATTGAATTTCTAAATAAAAAAGAAAGCACTGAGTTATTGGCAAGCCAGAATTTGAAATCATTTTATTGCTATAAACTCAAAGTTTATCGATAAAGCCATTTTAAAAGGCAGTTTAGTTTTATGATGAACACTAGTGACTTTAAAACGTTTTGCGAAGCGTTTGTGGTTGAATTTTACCTTAAATTGAGGCTTATATTACGTATAAAAACATACCTAACATATATTTATGTTGGGAAATTAATAATTTTGTAATTAAAAGTGATATTTTTAGGCGATTTTTCATTTGTAAGAATATTCTTAAATTATCGTGTTACCATGACAACTACTTTAGAACATGTTCGGAAAATACAATGGTTTTGTCAGCAAGGCGAGGGTTTCTGCATGCATGTATTTTCTAGTAAGTAGTGTAATTTATGTGACGTGGAGGACATTTTTTTAATTAAGGCAATGTAATGTCCCGTCTCTGATTAAGTGGAAGTAGTTTAGACGAAGCAAGAGCATATTCATAACTTAGGTCGCGAGTGATAATCCCGCTTAGAGCACGTTTTTGGATTCTTTCAATATCTTGACTTTGTGATAACGTTAGGCCTCCATGCTATAATATATCACGGTATTCCAAAACCGATCGAATCACTGAACAATAAAACTTTAATAGATCTTTTACTGGTGCGCCATATTTCTTTAACACCTTTAAAAAATGTAGACGTTTCCTGACCTTTTTAATAATAAAAAAGGTATTAGTATGCCATTTGAGATCTGATTGAAGCCAAATGCCTAATAGCTTGTGGGATTGTACTCTTTCAATAGGAATGTTGTCTATCGTAATCACTGGTATTTCAGATTTCATAATTCGAAGGTCGATGACCATTTCTTTAGTTTTTTTCAAGTTCAACCTCATGTTTTCCTCTCTTCAAAATTTTGAAATTCTTTCAACATTTATTTGGTTGTTGCTCACTGGCTGGGTTTCAGGGTTATTTATTTTGAGAATCTCTGATAGGGTAGTATCGTCCATAAAATTTGAAACATGTTCTTTTCCTGAATTTTTGTCAGTGAGTGCCAAATCTGGTAGCTTATTAATTTTGGTAATAAATGCTATCGGGCCGATTTTACTTCCTTGAGGTACCCCTGCGTTGATCTTTTTAAAACGCGATGTCGATCCATCTATGTTTACCCTCTGTAACCGGTCGGATAGGTACGAGGCTAACCATGATAGTAAAGCGGGACGAACTCCAACAGATTTAAAGTCATTCAGCAAGATGATCGATAAGGTCAAATGCCTTGGAAAAATCCAAGAAAACGATTCTAATTACCGATTTGGGTTTCTCCAAGGCGAGAAGTAGCATTTCGAGGAGGGCTAATACAGACGACGAACGAGGAATTCCCCCAAATTGACGTTCGCTGAGACAGTCCCTTGGATCTTCCAACATCCAATCCAGTGCAAATGATTCTTGAATTTTTGAAAATACACTTGTAAGGGCAATTGGTCTAATATCTCCTACTGTAGTGCATGGATTTGACTTGGGATAGGGCAGCAGTTGTATGCTTTCCAAATCTCCCCGAAACATTTCTCTTGAAAGGAGGTGTTAATAATGTCTGTTAGTGGACCGGATAACTGCTCCGCAAAGTGTTTGATAATTTTCGTTGGTGGATCAAAGGGACCTGGGGACTTATTGATATTGATTTCTTTCAGCTTTTGTGCAATACATTCCCTTGAAATGGTAGGAAGGTCAAGATCGTCTCCACCCAGCTGTAGATCGTTTGATTTTTTATTATAGTCTTTAGTTAAGTTAATTAAGTAATCATTAATACACTCTACTGCTTCTTCTGAGGTTAGAGGTTCACCAGAGTCTGGGTTGACAAGGTTGATTTTCTGGTTCTTGCTTATTCCACATATACGTTTGATACTTTTCCACCAATCTTTTGGGTTGTTAGACTGTAATGGTTTTACTTTGAGCTGGTAAAACTTTTGTTTTTCCTTTTTAATTTCATCGCGAACTATGTTACGCAACGATGTGAATTTCTGTTTATCTCCTTTCGCAAACGCTTTGTCTTGGTTCACTATTAACGTTTTAATTCTTCCTGTTATAAATGGTTTATCCTCTTGGAGGAACTTTACGGTACGTTTAGGGAAGTAGGTATCTACACTCCTAGTAATTACTTGTGTGAACATTTCCAGTTTTTGGTTGACCGTTGGCAACCTTGTTACTATAGACCAATCATATGAGTTTATCCACTGCCCGAAGGCTTCTAAACTAGAATCCTTAATAGGTCTCACCGTCACTTTCCTTATTC